AAAAAATGGGAAAAATGACGAAAAGAATGGGGAAAGGGGAAAAATGGGAAATGGGGTTAGAGGAGAAAAACGGGGGGAAAAGGGGGGGAAAGGGGGATAAAGGAGAAAAAAGGAAAAAAAGGGGAGAAAAGGGAAAAGGGGGAAAAGGAGAAAATGGTGGGAAAAATGGGAAAAAAGGGGAAAGAGGGAAAAGGGGGAAAATTTGGGATAAAGGAGAAAAAAGGGAAAAAAAGGGGGAATAGAGGGAAAAAAGGGGAGAAAGGGGAAAAGTAGGAAAAGGAGACGGAAAGGGGGGAAAATGGGAGAAAATCCGGGAAAAAAAAGGTGGGAAAAACCAGGGAGAAAGAGGGGAAAAGGAGGGAAAAGGGATTTCCAGGAAGGAGAGGCAGCCACATTCCGACACCGCGGGAAAGCGACTCATCCCGACGGCACCGGCATTCCCGGAGCGACACCTCGGAGCATCCCAGCTCCCAGCAGGAATTTTGGGATGAAGACCCAGAGATGAGGATTTGGGAAAAATCCCCACCCGCCTCGGGAATTTCTGCCCAAAATTCCCCGGGAATCCCAGAGAATCTTGGAATTACGAGAAGAGGACAAACGGAGAGCGTCCCAAAGATCGACTTATCCATCGGGAACGGGATTTCTCGTGGATCCAAGCGGGAAGCAGCAGCGGGAAGCGACGGCGGGAAGCGGATCCGGAGGGGGATGGAAGGATCGGGAATTCCATGCGGGATCCCGGCGGGAATTCCGGGCTTACCCTCATGCTGCGGCGCTTGAAGGCGGTGTGGCGGCCGGGAGGAGGAGGAGAGCGCCGGGAATTTGCCGGAGCCTGGTACTCGGCGGGACTGGCGAGGGTGGGAGAGCTGGCGCAGAGCCCCTCCGGAACCTGGGAATTCGGGAATTGCGCGGGAGCGGCGGCGGCGAGAGGAGCCCACGGGGCGGGGGGAGGGGGGGAAAAAACCGGGAATTTAGCGCGGAGCGGGAAAAGCGGGAAAAGCGGGAATGGCGGCGGGGTCAGGTTCGTGGTGAACTTGGAATGTTTGGTTCTTTCCGAGAGCTCATCCCGAAAAATCGGGAGCGGTGGAGGGAGCTGGGAAAGCTCAGCCTGGAGGAATTCCCTCTGGAATTCCCTCTGGAATTCCCTCTGGAGTTCCCTGTGGAATTCCCTCTGGAGTTCCCTCTGGAATTCCCCTGTGGAGCCAGGTGGGATCGGGATTTGCTTCCCAGGAAAACGAGGGATGGGAACTCGAGTTCCATTCCGGCTGCTCCGGGGTTTATCGGGAATAATTCCCGCGTGGAAGACCCACGGATGGATCCCCGTTCCTGGATGGATTCAGCTCCACGCGGATTTCTTGGGAATGCCTTGGACTCCAGGGTCTCCAAGAGCTTTTCCAACCTCGAGGACTCCGGGATTCCCGGAGCGGTGACGCGGAGCCCATCCCAAAATCCACCACATTCCCAGGTTTTTCCGGCCCAAATTCCTGTGGGGAATTCCCAAATTTCTCCGGGGCCTCACCTGGAATTGCAGCTTGGGAGCCAGGAGATTATTCTGGGATGGCGGCTTGTACAGGGGCCTGCTGGGCTGCGGGAAAAGCGGGGAAAAAAAACAAAAAAAAACCGGGAATTCCTCCGGATCCCATCCGGGAATTCCCGCCCGGGAATCCCGGGGGAGCCCCAATCCCGACCTTGGGAGGCGGCTCCTGGAATGTCGGCGGCTCCAGGATTTTGGGAGCGCGGTGCCGGTTGTTCCTCTCCTGCTCCTGGGCCAGCTCCTTCTCCATCAGGTAAATGTCGCTGCGGAAAGGGGAGAATCCCGGGAATTCCCGCCTGGCATCCCGAACTTTCCCCGCCCCCGGGAAAACGGGAGGGGCAGAGAATTCCCGGGTGAAAGGCGGGAGGAGAATTCCCGGTGATTCCCTTTTCCCGGGAAGCCGAGCTCTTCCGTCCCCTTCCCATTCCAAAGGGTCTCCCGTGCTCCTCCAAGCCCAAAGTTTTCCATAAAAACTCCTGATCTGAGGCTTTTCCTGGATTTTCCATCCCCATTCCCAACCCCTCCTGTCCAGAATTCCCAGCCGTGGAGGGACCCTTTGGAATGGGAATGTTTCGCTTCCCGGGAAAGGCTCAGAACCCAAATTTTCCATAAAAAACCCCCGATCCGAAGCTTTTCCCGGATTTTTCCATCCACATTCCCAACCCCTCCTGTCCAGAATTCCCAGCCGTGGAGGGACCCTTTGGAATGGGAATGTTTCGCTTCCCGGGAAAGGCTCAGAACCCAAATTTTCCATAAAAAACCCCCGATCCGAAGCTTTTCCCGGATTTTCCCCCCACATTCCCGCCTTTCCATGGATCCAGCGGAATTCCCGGCTCACCTGAGGCTGCAGAGCAGCTCCTGGAATTTGGGCTTGGAGGAGCCCCTTTGGAATGGGAACGTTTCGCTTCCCAGGATTCAGAACCCGAATTTTCCATAAAAAACCCCCGATCCGAAGCTTTTCCCAGAGTTTCCCCCACATTCCCAACCCCTCCTGTCCGGAATTCCCAGAATTTCCTTGGAAAGGATCTCCAAAGGGTCTTTGCTGCCTCGGAGACCCTTTGGAACGGGAACGTTTCGCTTCCCAGGATTCAGAACCCGAATTTTTCCATAAAAAAAACCCCCGATCCAAAGGTTTTCCCCCGGAATTTTCCCCCCACATTCCCGCCTTTCCATGGAATTCCCGGCTC